CCCTCTCCTCCTCCTCCTCCTCCTTCTTCTCCTCGTCCTCCTCCTCCTCCTCCTGCCCCTCCTGGGGGGCAGCATCGGGCCGGGCCAACGACGGCGGCTACCCCAGACACCCCCGAGCCCGCCGCCGGACACCCCAGACGGCGCCCGACGGCCCGATGCAGGAATAGCATAACCAACTTTACGCTACACCTGAGCTGTCCGCCCCCCTGGGCAGCCCGGGCGTCCGCCGGCGGCCTCTGGGGCCCCCGGGTCGTCCGATCCGCTCGCGAGGAACCCCAGCGGGGCTGGAGGCCTCGCAAGCGGGGTCCGAGCAGATGAGGTCGGAGGATCGCGCCGTCGGCGCGGAGAACATGGGGCTCCACATCCAGACGCATCGCCGATGCATCGTCGATACGGCGCGATTCTCTGACCCCATCTATACTCGGACTCCACTTTGGAGGCCTGGCCCTTCCTCCCTACCTCCCTCCCTCCCTCTCCCTCCCCTCGAGACTCCTTGCGCGAGTTCACTTTACCGCGTGCGCTATGCTAATCGTGGGGCTGCCGTTGCCGTTGCTGCCCGCCCCCCCTCGCGTTTCGAGCCCCCTTCTCTCTGCCCTGTTGCTCTCCATCTCTTCATTCCATTTCATCCCCCCGCCCGACGGCACGGAGGTCGTTGCGCCGCGCGAACCTCCCGATGTCTGGGCCGGGGGCACTGCGCCCACGGACTCGTGGAGGCGTCAGGTGACACGTGTGGAAAGGATCACGCGTGGGGCCACCCTGATGAGCTGCAAGTGGCGATGTAGTCGGCCCGGCGCCTGCGAAGGACAACCCCCGTCCCCAGATGCACCCCTCTCCTCGAGTGGCAGCGTGCCGCGCGGTGGGCCTCCCCGCCAGACCGCCCGCGCCGCGGGAGGGCGAACGGCTTCCGTCTTTGGGCCGGGGCGGGGCCCTGCGAGACAGCACGCGGGCCCGATCCGCAGCAGGAGGGGCGCAGGAGGCGCGGCAGGCCACCGCACCGAGGCGCAACCGAAACGAGGCAGCGGGCCACCCTTGCTGGGACCTGGGTGAAGTACGCAGTGGTGGGGGGGGAGGGGGGGGGGCGAGCATTGCCCATCGGCCCCCACACCATCGGCAGGGCGACCATGACTGCATAGGAACCTCGAGCGGCGAGCCGAGCACCGCGGCCCAGTGCAGCGCAGAAGAGGCGCCTGGCCCAACGGGGAGCACGCGGCCGATGCCGACCACCCTGAGCCGAGGAGCACGGCCATCCCCTGGGGGCGCATCCTGCAAGGGCGCCGAACTTCGCGCCCCGTGCCGCGCGAAGCGCGAGAAGGACTCCGCGCCCTCGCGCCGCCCCTCGGGGGAGGACGGGAGGAGGAGGAGGAGGAGGAGGAAGAGGAGGAGGAGGAGGAGTTCTGGAGTTCTGGATATAGCGACTAGGTCGGTGACGCTTAAATTACTTAGATCTCTTGGCACGCTCAGCTTTGCTGCAGACCTTAGGCCAAAGATTGAGGAGGAGGAGGAGGAGGAGGAGGAGGAGGACCGCGAGGCGCGAGGGCGCGAATACCTCTTGCTTCCGCCTCCTACTTCCGCCGCCCCCCGCCCGCAGAAGGGTGGCCTCGCCTCACGCCCGCCGCCCTTCCGCCGCCCCCCCCGCCGAGAGAGCGCGGCCGACTCCTCCGACCCTCGAGTGCGCGGCCCTCTCTGGGAAGGCCTTCCTTGAACGGGAGGTGGGGGGGGAGGCAGAGGGGAGGGCGCGGCTCGGCCGCCCGCCGCGGCACGAAGGCGCCCGCGCGCGGCTGCGCGACGGGGCCGGGCAGGCCCTCTCCGCTGCTCCTCTGGCCCTGGGCCACCTCGGCGCCTTCCTCGCTGGGCGCCCGCGCAGGCGGGCGGACGGTCGTGCCCTCGGCCGACGCCCGGGCTCGAGTCGCCACCAGCTGCTTTCGGCCTTGTGCCTCCGCCGCCGGGCTCGCGCGAGAGGTCACCTCCATGGTCGCAGAGGACCGCAGGCAGCGCCTGCGAGCTCCTTATCCCAGCGATCCAGATCGCTTGGTGTCTTCCTCGTCGGGCACTGGAGCAGAAGATGCTGAATCAGGACAAATTCAAGATTCGGTCGAGGCAGCTTGGCAGACCACCACACTGGCCCGGAAACTAGCACTACGACTTTGTAAAGGACGCTACGACGGTACATCGACAAGCACAGACTACTCCGCCGCGTGTCATCCTTTGCAACTTACGCATCGAAGCCTGCCACGGGGATCCTATCTGGGACCCGTGCTCATGGAGGAGAACGAGATGCTGCGGCTCCCCGACTAGACGACGATACGGCCAGCGCGCGTGTCACACCAGCCACTCCGATATGCACACGCAATCCCTGCCGAGTATACGTACGTCACACAGCATTCAAACAAAGTCACCACGATCTCAGCATCAAAATTCTTGGTGTCAACACCAGCAGAGCTGACACATCATCCAAGACAACCCATGCTGACCGTCCGCGATGTGGCGTGCGCTTCCTGCTGCCAGCTCGGTCGGTCCCCGAGGGGCTTTGTTGTACTCTGTGGCCTCGCCACAACGCCACTATATCAGGCAGTGAGGACTGCATGTCGGCTAACGCAGCACTAGCAATATCAACCCCGGCATGCACCAATGCACCAATGGCTACCGCGTGAAGCTTACGCTGCACGCTTGCCCCTCTCCACGGGGCTAGTTTGGGGCGGGCGACAATGGCGCCAACGCTAAGGGATGTGAATTTAGCATCGTCTCAGCACGACTTGTTGAGACAGTGGGGGCCTGTATCACCCCCCCCCCCCTCACCCACGACTCGCAGCAGCACCACCAACACAACACCACAGAACCTTCGGCTGCAGCGCGCCTGACGCTGCATGCTGGTCCATCAAGAAGAGACTAGGTTAGGGCGAGTGACTAGCGACTAGCGGCACCGCGGCCCAGGCTGTTGTGCTGCCCAATCGCCACGTGATTGGGTCAGATGGCAGGGGCTGTACCATCAACAGCAGCAACAACCAAGACACACAACACGCACTGCAGCACCATCGGCTGCTACGTGAAGCCAGGTGCCGTGGCCCAGGCTGGCTATTCAGCCTGGCCATCGCTCGACAGCGTCAGACAGTGGGCACCTGTGTCGATTCTGCAGCACCGTACGGAGCAGCACAAACAACGCATCACATTTAACTTATGTTAATCTATTGAACTTATTCACCTTATTTAATGTATTTAATTTAAATACACCTCCATCTGCCGCCGAGGTGGTGAGAGGGGAAAGAGGTTACCATGGGTTACCAGGGCCATGAAAAATTAAATACATTAAATAAATTGAATAAATTAAATCACTGAAGCAATTCGGCTGCAACACGCCTGACGCTGCGCGCTGGTCTACGCTGCGCGCTGGTCCCGCAAGGGGGGGGCCGGGTTCGGGCGGCGGCGGCTCCGCGTCCCAGCCCGGGTCGTTGGGCCTGGCAGCCACGCTGCCGCCATCGGGCCACCAAAGGGCACGCGCTGAATACAGAGCGAACCGTTTTTCTGGTCACGGCGAGCCTCGGCCACGAACAGGTTCTCCGACCCAGATCTAAGGAACGGCCCTCCTGAAGCAAGTGATCCATAGTTCAGCGTATCGGATGTATTGGTTCAGGCGGTAGAGGGTCGTATCACCCCTGATCGTACGCTGGTCCCCATCGACGGGCCAAAGTTTGGGCGGGTAACCCTGTGCACCGCGGCCATAGTGTTTAATTCAAGCATGTCGCCACGCTACTGGTTCAGACGGTGGAGGACCGTATCACCCACATGGTGCCAAGACGCCGATTACGGCACGTAGGTGACGCTAGTGAAGTTGTGCCTACTGGTTCCCCCTGCAGTTGGTTACGTCGAGCAATGACCGAATCCCATGATCAAGGGACGAAGCCAGATCTGATCAAAGCCTGCCGAAGTCTCGTGACCATCTACCAGTTTGGGAACTAGCCCAAGCCTAACACGAAGCAACAATGATTTCCAGGAGAGGGGCGGCAACAATACAAGACTCAGATAAGCCGTGCTCGACCTGATGCACCACCGCTGGACACGTGACTGGCATGCAAAAAAACACGATTTACATGACCCTGTCCGACCTGACAAAGCCCCGATACCGGGTTGTGATGAGCCTCTCCCGTCTCACCGACCACATCACGGACTCCCTGACCAACCCGTATGTCATCGACGAGTTTCGGCGGCAAAAAAGCCGCCAGCCTCCGACGACGATGCCGTCGACGACGACATGTCACCACAGCAATGACAGACGACAGCAATTTAACAGTCAGCTTAAGACTGTTCACTCTTAATGCGCTCGCGTGCCATTCAACATGTGTATCCCAAACACTCGATACCCGTCCTCTTCGTCTTCGATCGTACCCCCCTGGGGTATCGATTCCTTACCTGCCACGTGTAATCGGCGCAGCCCCTAAAACAGGGGAAGGGAGGGAGGAAGGAACGGACAAGAGGGAGGACGGAGCACGGGAGAGATTATCAGGAGGAGGGGTAGGAGTAGGAAAACAAGTGGCTGAACCAGACGGGCGGATAGGGCGAGTGGGGCCTAATGTGCGGGTTTGGCGGGCAGGCCCAGACGACCAGGTCGAGCGGGCGAGTCGCTGAAGCGCTAATCCTGCATACATCGCGAGGAGGTCTTGAGCGATAGTGCGGTTCCCAAGTGAATCGTGGGAACATCCAAAGCGAGAGGGTGATTTCTGAGTGTCGAGGGCGCGGCGTGTGAAAAAATGAAAAAAATCCCACGCGAGAGCGCGAGCCTTGCGTGAATTGCATCCAGTTTCCGCGCGAGAGCGCGATCGCCCAATACATTGTGAGGAAGTATCAGGCGGGAACCGTTGAATTCTTACGTCCGAAAAATAAGTGACCGATCCTCTTACACGGGGCCAGGGGGCAGCTTTTTCTCAGGAGGAGGTGAGGCAGCCGGGCTCTTGTCGAGGCAGAGGCGGAGCTAAGGGTGCCGAGCCTCCAGTACCCCTGAGGGCAGAGAAAAAAGAAAGAAGGCGAAAGCGGGGTGGGTTCGCAGCAGGGTGGGAACTTGAGCCGCAATGTCATGCGGCCCCGCTCACCCCTCTCCCACTTACTGTATTTAATTCAGACAGTGACCGATCCTCTTACACGGGGCCAGGGGGCAGCTTTTTCTCAGGAGGAGGTGAGGCAGCCGGGCTCTTGTCGAGGCAGAGGCGGAGCTAAGGGTGCCGAGCCTCCAGTACCCGAACCCGACTGGTCAACTGGCCGTAGGCCGCACACCATATATTTCGTTCATTATGATCTGTTTGTTGTTGTTTATCACATTCATAAGGTATCGTCCCATCGTATTGCAGAATTGTGTAGGGTAGGCGGCAGCGATAGCAGTCCAATGGATACCTTCTGGCGTCTTCCCTGTCAGTTCGATGTGCGGCTTGAGGGACTTTGAGCATATATTCCCACGAGGACAGCAAAGGCGCTCGATAGCTGTACATCTGCCGGCACTCCACAGCGCAATCCGTGTGCGCTTTTTCCACCTAGCACCGAACTCGCACATGTCACATACGTGAACCACACAGGAGTCGTCGCATAATAGTCTACACAGGTGTGGTGCACGCCACATCATAAATGTACTTGGGTTTTCCAAAGCTACTGGCGTATTATGTCGATTTGCAAGGCGTATGATCTGGGTAGAGAATAGGAAAGTGTCGTTACCAATATTTAGCTTAGCCTGATTTGCAGCACTGAGCCCAGGAAGTCCGAGAATGTGTTCTGAATCCCGAATAGCAGGCCGTCTAGCGATAGACCAGGTGGTACACGGGGTCCCTAACCAGATGCCGACCCGATTGCCGACCCCGAACTTGATGGCCTCGGCGAAGCTCTGGTGCACCGCGCTGCCGAAGTTGAAGACGGATGGACAGATTTGGTTGATCACGCGCAGCAGCTTGGTCTCCTTCCCGTACCTCTTCAAAGAGGCCACTGTTGTCCAACGACCCCGGCGCATGACTTGTTCTGGTGTTCGCTTTCTGGCTGCCAGGTCCTCCGACGCCCCTCCGCGTCGAAGCTGATACGGATGTGGGTCGAACGGCCCTAACCCCAGACCCTCGGCCACTGCGATGAACACATCCTTGTAAAGCTCGCTGCTGAACCCCCACAGGCTCCCGTCTGGCAGGCTGGCCTGCTTCAGGCCGAGAAGGGGCTCCCACAACCACTGCTCGTCGATCGTCACCGCGTCGTCGAATGCCCCCGTCTTGCCGGGGATGCCGAGGGAGGTCTCGTGCAGCACTAAGCCCATCATGGTATAGCCAGCACCTGCCACTGGGACCGCGGCAACGATGCTCTTGCCGAGGAGCGCCATCGCCTCGATAGGCCGCAGATAACAGACGTGTGACACCGCCACCATGATC